TTCAGGTTCTGGCAGCAGGGTCAGGCACCAGGGGAAAGTCAAGCATGTGTTGGTAAAAATGTGTCCCCCTCCTGTATGTGAGTGTGTATGTGTGTGTGCTTGCAACCCTCAGCTACTGTAGCAGCAGCTTGATTACAGCTTAAGCCTCCCTGAGTCCCTGCAGATCTCTCAGTTTGCAGAATGATGGCACTGTACACAACCACTGAGTGGGCTGAAACTTTCGTGTTTATTTTCAGCCTAGGACTTAGGCACTGTCTCGATTTTATGAAACAGGTAAGTAACCTTCTCTCAAATCCCACAATATGAGGGACTCATAACTTCAAGGCAACTAGCCCCTTACTATAAAAGTATCAACGCTTTTAGGCTGATAACTTTAGATACAGGAAAGCCTGATGTTGCCGTATTCTATTACGTATTTTATTGGGAAGGGAAGACATGCAGTGTCTCCGCCTGTATGCCCCTGCATTTATTGCACAGACCTCACAGTGGCAGGGCGCTAAGAAGAAAACAAAACTCCGGGCTCACCAATATTACTAAGCATTTTAGAAATTCCTTATGAAAAGTTTTTATAGAAGAAAAGCCTCATTGAAGTATTAAGTATGAGGAACAACTTCTTAATACTCTCTTGACTGTAATCAAATTTAATCTTGTCAGCTAATTCAGAGAGGAAGTGATCAGTGTAGAATACATCAAAAGATCTGCAGAGATTGAAAATGAAATCAAAATTCGTTATGGTATATACCATGGTTAAGATGACATTCTAATTGCTCATGAATCAAACATCACAAATCTTAGTATGTAATTTTAATCATTGATAAGCTCCAGGTTAATTATCTTCATGGCATGCATGCAGCTTTTAAAACCCTCTGAAATTATCTGATAACCATAAGCATGAAAACCTAATGATTTTCTAATTAGTCCACAAACATAATGTTTACCTTTGCTTTCAAGAAATTGGCACAAACAATGTATATATACTGAAGGCAGCCAAAATTCCCAAAATACAATCTCCTGCTAGACTGAAGGAAATTTGGAAGGCAGTCATAGACTATAGATTTGGAATGAAAGAAAGCTGATCGATAAAATTAAATTAATGATCCTGAATTAAAATGTAAAGTTCCAAGACCCAGGGTGTTCTTTTTCTTTCCCGTGATAAGATAACTTAGGCAGATATGTGGAAGATGATTCACCTTAATTACAAAGGTAAGAAAAGTTCCCAAATACTTTATAGCTTTGTAAAGGAGTTTCCGAGCTTTTATTATTATTTAAATTCTGTTTTGCTTATACCCCTACAACAGTCCTCAGCCCACAAACAACTTGCTAGAATTATTACACACATGCTGAGTACACCTCAAAGAGATATCGGTAATAGGTAGTTAATAACTTTGGCGGATGCTGAATGGGCTCTGCAATGTATTAACGCAATATTACTCTGTATGAAGTAGAGCCTATATGTTTATTTTACCAGAACTAACTTCCAGAAATGTGACAGCATTGTTGCCTTGTTAAAAAAAATTATGAAAACTACACTAAAGAATCCATCACAGGTCAAAGCAAAACGGTAGGATATATTTTGTTAGAATATTCCCACATAATTTTATACAAAATTGCCTATCAATGTCTTCTTAATAAGGTACACACGAATCAGAAGCTAAGTCAAATACATGTCTTCTATACAATCAAATTTACATTTCATTCCAAAAACAACAATGACAAACCTATCTGAATTGATAGTAATATATTGCCTAATTTTTTTAAAATTCGTAGCTACTGACTATGACCATGACAATGTTTACCAGTATAATTTGCTGAAATTACTTTAGTTTGGAGAGTTAAAAAATTATTTAGATCAATATGTACAGTGACACTGTCCATATATTTTAAATACTGAATATGATACTAAGTGATTTCACCATCATCAATGTCAGAGAAGATCTCCTTTATCAATGGGACCCATTTAGGAAATTTTCACTAAACTTTTATAAGTCCCAGGAAAAAGACCACAAAGAAAACCATTTAACTTAAACCACAGAATTTGTTCCAAAATGACTGTGTAACAAGTAAACTCACAGTAAAAGTTGCTTCGCCATTTAAACTGGTTTCTATTTGGTCTTCACCAATTTCTATTTTCTATTGCCAAATAGTCTGTATATAAAAATCCCCAAAGTCCTCAAGAAGTTCTAAATAAAATAACCTGATATAATTTTGATGCTAAATTCAGAATACATACCTGCTGGTCTGCTTAGAATATGTGTACACCTTTTTTTGGTATTCTCAATAATTCACGTAATTCATGTAAATCCCTTTTTCAGAATTAAGGGACGACATGCAGAAAAGAACTTTCATTGCTCATTCTCCCTGGCTTTCGTCCTGCTGCCTAAACTCTGCTCTGCCAAATGACCAGACCCACCTACAAGCAGCCCAGCTAATGAAAGGGGTACTTTCTGAACAATAGAATTCCTCTGCATTCAGAAAGCAGAGTTCCCATTAGAACCCAAAATCAGACAGGCCAGTTTTACCTCTGTTTTTTGTTGTTGTTGTTTTTTAAATAATCCTGAAAGTCTATTTATATTTTGACATTTGTTACATGAAATACCTCTGTTTTGTTTTGTTTTTTTTAAATTGAGAATGTCCCTGCGCTCCTCTCCGATCCAGTGAGACAGTGTTTGTGAAATGATTAAAAAGAACGTGATCTGATCAAGGGGACAGAATAATGGAGAAGGAACCTTAGGTTAGCCCGTGCAAAGTTCTGGGAAAAAAAGACATAGGCACCCCCCGCCTATTGTTTTTATTCTCATTTGCTCTTTAGCTATCTCCTAAACACTCGAAGTCTTTATTTATTTAACTTTAAACGGGTTAAAAGTTGTCCACTTGTAAGAGAATTCAGTAACAAGTTTCAAATCCTAAAAAATAAATAAATAAATAAATATCCGTGAATTATATCAAGTTTCCAAAAGGTCATCACTGCCTCTGCTGTGGCCTTTTCCCCATTCCAAATCCTCTATCAATATGTCATAGTGAGTTAGGCAAAGACAAAAGAGAGGTGCAGTGTGAAAACGGCACATATATCTAATCCTGACAAAGCAATGAATGGACCTTCACAAGTATAATTATACTTGTTTATTTGTTGCCACGTACAGAGAACTGATGAAAAAAATCTATCAAAGTGGTATTATGCAGACACCAAGAGCTTCTTTTCTTTGGTTGCTAAAGACACACTGAGGCTTAAATTCCTTATTGTTAAATTCAGAGGAAAGGAAAAAAAAAAAGAGTTTTTGGCTAAACTATTTTTTTTTTTTTTTTGGCATCAGTTGCTGACAGGTCTTTTGTGTCCTAGGCAGTATTAGCTCACACCACTACTTCACTTCTACTCATGTTGGAATTCATAATTATAAACTATTGTACAGGATCTTTTAAAAGGGTGTGGCATGCTGACCAAGGGCAGAGGGCCCTTGTCTCACAGCCTCTCTTTTGATATATCAAAACACAGGTAAAGTTACGTCAGGATACAGTTTTGATCTCAGTCTTTAAAGTTGGATCTGGTGGTTTCCTTTACTCAGTTTTTTCTGTAATTTGCTTATTTTAGTATATGTTCAATATTTCATCAATGATTGCAAAGCTTCTTAACCACTGTGGTATTAAAAACGTTAGCATGAAGAAAGACAAATCCAAGGAAGTCCAAAGATTGAAAATATGAAGTAAAAAATTTCAAGCCCAACTATTAAGGAGCCATTATGTTCCAATCGACACTAAATCAAATAACCTCACAAAAGCCCATTTGGGGGGTGGGGAGTCAAATAAGCTTTTTTATTTCCTTGCAGGATAGAAATATATCAAAGAAAATGCAATGTGCATAGTTAATGTTTGTGAGCTTTACAATTTAAAACAGAAAAGCTGTAATTTTTCTTTGCTGGCAATCTGGAAACACTCTGGAGTTAATTACAGCTGATTCGGAGTGAACCACACAAACAAAGACCAGTCTATGTCCAGACAAT